TAAAGTAAAAAATAATTCCCTCCCTTATATTGTGCCATAGTTGGGTAAAAATGCAATGTAGACTTTGCCTTACGTATTCCTATTTTGTTACTTCATATTCTTCTTATACATAACCACGCAAAAGTAACCAAAGAGGAAGTAACGAACATAGACCATAAGTTTCATTTCATGTATTTCTACAATAAAATCTGATAAAATCGACTGTATGTAATAAGATATCAAAAATTTATTAAACAATTATCTATTCTTAATACTATAAACATTAAAAATTATAAACTTACCCTTGTTAATACAGTTACAAAACAAGAAGAAAATTTTGAATCCGGCGAGCACCACACAATGAAACGATATTTTCAAATGAATTAGACAAGTGGCAATGCTACTTTTAGCTTTACGTTCTTCTCAAATGTTAAGAGTGCACAGAAAACCATAATCTACTAACTTGTTTTTAAATATTTTCCATAAACCACGTAACAAAATAAGAAACGGCATAAGGAACTTTTTAAAGACATGTTATAAAATATATTTATTTTTAAAATATGCATTGTTTTTCGCAAAATTGTATATTCGAGGGATAAATTGATAGTAACAGCGTAAAATAGCACCAAAAAATTTAATGCCAGCCCATAATATTTAAAAATAAAGCTTATGGAAAGTCATACACTGCTAAATGGGACACATCACTCTCCATACATTTGCACACTCAATAGTTTATCTTTTTTTGTTTTTTTTTCATAAATTATCAATTTGTCATAAGAATGAAAGCATGAATGTAAACAGTAATTCAGTGATTTTATTCATTTAATTATTATCTTGAACATAATATTTTTCTACCATTTAAAAAAATTAAGTCAATTTATGGGACAACACTACAATAATCATTCAGCATTATTTTGAGAATTGCTCATATATGATTTAACAAATTCATAAAAAGAAGTGTTAGGTACTTAACCGCCTTCTCAAAACTTGCAACAATTTATTATGAGTATATGACATTTTTATACTCATAATGAAATAAAAAGCCCTAACATTTTTTATTTATTTTATATAGGTTACAGTGATTGTAGTTCCAGAATTTAAGTCGAACTTAAAGGTCTAGCATTCATTTAGTGTTCACGCACCCACGTTAGAAAGTATTTACGGTTGCTTTTATATTTATTTAAATCCTCCCGTGAAAGTGTACTTTTTGCTTAGAGCTCTACTTATTTTGCCATAATAAAATCGGTCTAAATGACAGTAAACAAAAAAGAAATAAGTATCTTTTAAACATCTACATTCTTTCAGCTTATGTAGTAAACATAAGCATTTTATGTATTTGTATAGACTAGGTAATTTATAAAAAAGGGCTATTTGGTGGCAGTTGTTTAGGTACTATTACTGCTTTTTATTTTTTAATATTAGACTTTTATATTTGTCAAAAGAATACAATTTTCTGATGAAACCTAACAAATATATTTAGGTACAATCTAAGTGGTATTTATTGCGTAGTGTCAAAACGATCAGAAAATTTGCACTCGAAATCATGTTTGGTCTGTTTAAAAGCATTTGACTAACTCAGTCGTAAATTTTTACTACATTCATAAATTATCATTAAATAAAAAATATTGTTCTATACAAGCTTTAGACATTTAAAGAATGTTTAACAACTTGTCTTACTTTGCGATTTAAAAAAGTGAATACTTACACACAAATAACTAAAAACATTCTAAATTTAAACTAACACAAAAGGTAAGCTGCTTATGAAAAGGGTTATTGATCAAAGAGTGTCGCTTATTGTCACCGCATCAATACTTCAACGATCAGAGAACTATTTTCTTTCAAAAGTTTAGAATCGTCTTCAATGCACCCAAATCATAATAAATTTAAATATTCACCATTCTTCATTCCTTAAATTTAATTTATTTCAACCTTCAGATTCCTCTGTATTCGGACCTACTAATTTTCTAAGTCGGTTAAAATAAAGAAAATACTTTATGATGTAAGAAATTTTGACTTAAATTCATTGCTGTGATTAAGAAAAAGCACTCATTTAGTCAATCTGGATATTGTAGGATTTTATTAAGAGGTTTCATCTGTGCGCAATGAATAAAATTGTCTCCTGCTCATCACATAGGTATAACCCGAACATCAAACGTTAGCTGGCAAAATCGGTTTCACAAGATACTAGAAGAAAAATCACATTATTATCGGTCAGTCTCCCTCATCCCTATTTTGCAATATACCACAAGATTTACACAACTTCAAATTAAATGAAAAAAAAATACTTAAGAATTTTAATGACTGGCATTTAAAGTGATACATAGATAATGCCTAGAGAAGCCCTGCCTCATCAGTCAAATATTTAGGTCCACCACAGATGACGATATATATGTAGACTGTAAATACACTTCGATCAAGACTCATCTTGTAAAGTTTTTGTAAATATTGGAGTCGTCAAAAAAAAGATCTGGAGGTAGGTTTATGGCCAAAAGACAACAATATTTCAACTTTGACGTTTGAAAGGCGCGAAAAAATCATAGTGCGACTGAATCTTAAATAAAAGATAGAAGATAGAAGAAAGATATCAGAGATATGCATGTCAGGGAATATCGTAATGTAGTGTTTAACATGTGTGTGTAAATCTGAATATATTTTTAATTTTGTATACTCTAAATTTGTAACTGACCATTAGACAATAAGAAAAATAGAATAAAGATGTTATAGGTAATAATTTTGTTAGTTTTAAGTTTATATCCATTCATTTGGCGTGGCAGAAGGTAAATATGCCGAAACATTTAGAAATGTATCAATTCTTCTATAGTATATAGGCATATATAAATAGAGTAAATTGCATTGTAGTAAATATCAGCCTAATTACGAGTATATTTAAAAATGTATAAACCGGAGACAGAAAGCTTAAGAATAACGCCTTGTATATATATATATATATTTATTAATAAAATATCCTTCTAAATATGCAATTTACTGTGTAGTACAAAAAATGTAATTAGAAAATGCAAGAAGACTTAATTGGAGTAATATAATTTCTACGCTATCTAATAAGGTTAATCAAATTAGAGGAATTGAATGTTTATTTGTCGCAATAAGTTTAACTAGCAAGCAAAAGGTAACATAACTTATCACATTTGCTTGTAGGTACAGTCTACTAAGTTGTCATAGTTAGGTACCTGTGAAGACGTCTATTGATTAGATATCTACAATTTCCAATTATGGAAACCACATATTATTATGTGCACTAATGTATAAATTTGTAACGATTACCGTATCTAAGCATGTTTTATGAATGCTTAATAGGAAAAAAAAATCTTCATGAATAAGTAGACACATTTCTATATCTATATATATATTTGAATATAAGAATTTGTAAATCCAGATTATTTTATATAGGAGTAAAATGGAGATAATTACAAAACAAATTAAAAAAACATGCTTAGACAATCATATATCTTTACTATTGCTAATATCAGCATTCTATAACTAACAATTTATATTATATATATAAATATTATCTATACTGAACGATTTTTAACATAGTACTAATACTGCATTCTATTGAGATATTGACCAATGTATACTACAACAAGCTAAATATATAATAATTTATTCATAGTTTTTGGTACATGGTTGTTAGAAGTTATTTTTGAAAATATATTGACAATAATAATACAACTATAATTACAGCTGTGCATGTAATATAGTATGCATATAATAAACAGGGCTATGGGTTATTCGAAAGTGAGATAAAAAAAAGTTTATTATAACAACGATTAATTAATACTCTGTGTTCTACACATACGAAAAAAAACAATAATTAGTCTAGATATATACGAATTTTCAAATATGTATTTATTTATTAAAGAACCTTTTTTTTTAATTTGAGCAAAACAGAAAACAATAAATTAATAACGACAAACAATAATTATAAATTAAATTACTTTATACATAAATAAAAAAAACATGATTTTATAGTTCATTTATCAGATACATCTCATAAAACAATAGAAAAAAATACTACCTTAAAAATCCGAAAGGAAAACGAAATAGTTTTACAATACCGGTACACTATCAAAAGAGGCCCTAATATAATTATTACTAGAGGAATGTCAACTATATAAAACTACTAAACATCAATTTATTACTAAAAAATGTTCTATTTAAAATTGGAGTCAACATTTTATTACGATTACTAGAAACTATCAGCTATTTATAATATTATTATTCAATGAAAACATCTGCAGTTAGTAGAATTTCTTGCGTAGTAGTTGACACTAGAAGCCATTAAGATTGAATTACTATTTGTATATTTTATAAAATAGTATATTTTCATACAGATTGATTCAATAGATTTTAAGTTTTATATTGAGCTCGATTATAAATCAGCTAAGAAAATAAAAAGTGATTAAAAGAGTTTTTACATCAGTATATCATAAAACTCCTTTTTCAATAGTTGTCGGTTGTTGCACAGTGGCAACCCCATCAATGTTTACACTGAATAATGCAATTTTATAATACATCTTTCAGCTAATTGCACAATAATTGAGCTCTTTAACAGTTTAAAAGCCTATAAGTCTACGTAACGTGTTTGTAGCTGATAGTTTATAGGTTAAAGTTTGAAAACTTGATAGTCGACGAAAAGCGATTCAAGAATTAAGTCGATTATAAAAACAAGAACGATAAAATCGATTGGAGTATATTATTAGAAGATTAGGATGATTTAAATATCTTAAATAATGAAGAAAATGTAATAATATTGCCTCCAATAGTGATTTATTAATACTAAAGGACATTTATAACCCTGCAAACTATTCGTATTTTGATTAACAACTATTGTAGCTCATGATTAAATACTGAATGGTATGGAAATAGCCAATTTAATACAAAAAAAATCGTACCCTATGTGTTGTGCAACATATTAAAAACCATCACTGGGTACATAGTATATGGGCGTGGATGAACGATAATATACAACCTTGTTAATTTCTAACATTTCGTATTCATCATTAGAGCGCTACGAGCCGAGTGCTGCATCCACGCCATTTCTCTTGTAGTTTTCTATGTTCTTCATACTGTTGTTCGGTTATGTGCTTTACTGTTGCGTTGCTGCCCTGAAAATGGAAATAGAATAAATATTATACACATAAAAGCTATAACAATACTAAAAGCTATTACAATCTACATGTACTCCCATTTTTACTTTGTGCCTTTCCTTCTTGTTCTCACACTGTGTTAGTACACCGATTAAGAAAGTAAACGTTTGTTTTTAATTTTAATAACTTATAACCAGTTTAAACAAAGCCTTCTAATCTTAGGCTATAAATACATAAATATTACATAAACATAACAATTACATTCACAACACAACCACTACATGTGGCAGGATTATTTGTTTAAATTTATTTCTAACTAGTAATTCGACCTGGTTTCGCACGGGTGCAATGTGGATACTGCTAATGCTAATCATGTGGGGTCAGTGTGGAGTAATTAATTATACCATTATTATGATAACACTATACTACAGAGAAATCTTTATATGCAATATTTATAGGCCCGCTCCGCTCCTGCTGGCCGCTGCCACCCGGGACGGACAGTACGGCCCGACACGGCGACGCTTTGCCCCCATATTTTAAATCTGATATCTACAAAGATATTTTAATAATATACTGTGCAAGGCAACTTTGATCTACATTTAATGCACAATGTATCGACCGTATTTATTTGTATAAGGAGTACTGTATTGTTCAAAATAGCTTCGTAAATGACTCATTATTTTTTGTAATATGTAAAAGATTAAAATGGTTACTATGGGTTTTCCATAGGAGCCATTTTAATTTTTTTGCCATCGTTTGCAAATGAAGCACATAAAAACAAGTTTTTTTACGACTTCACCTTACAAATATTTGAAATTCTCGGATTTCCACTACTATATTATGCATGTATTATACATATAATCTCGCCTCTTGAATCACTCTCTCTAATGGCAGAAATTGCATTAAAATCCGTTGCGTAGTTTAAAAGATCAAAGCGTACAAGAAAAAAAGCGATGTCATTTTATACTATGTAAAGACTAGCTTTTGCCCGCAGCTCTGCCCGCATCTATGTCGGTTATCGTGGTAAAAAGTAGCTTATGTTATTGAATGATAATGAATTTTTAAATCGGTTTAGGCATAAAAGCGTAACAAACACAATTAACTTTCACAATTATAAGTATGGATAAAGCAAAACGTTTCAAAAATACCTTTATCTTCCTCGGATCCAAATTAGCGCCTAAATTCTGCACGCCCTTCGCCAGTTTGGTTAACGGCGACAATACCATGTCTTTGGTAGAACTGGACACGGGACTAGCGATATTTTTAAACTGCCGCAGAGCCGACTCGCTGTGCGATTGAGCTATATTCAAAGTAATCTCATGTTGGGAATTAGATCTAACGTGATAGTTGGCGCTCTCGGGTTGAGTGTCTTCAAAGTTTAGTTCATTAGAACTATGAGATAATTTTTGTGTAAGTAGAAGAGAGTTTGGAGGCGCAGGCTTCGCAAAATCTCCTTCAACTTGAATCTCTGGCGTCTTATAAGCGTCTATATTAAACGGATTAATTTTGTTCACATTGACTGGAGTTTTTGACGTTTGCTTATCAACGTTTGTGACGATTTCCGCCATAAATACTTCTTGCTTTTTACTTTCGTCATTGGGCTCAATTTTTGATGAGTACAAAGGATTTTCGATCAAATCGCAGTCATTGTCTGCTTCAGTTTTTGAGGCTTTGCCAATATAATGTTGAGTGTTTTCAAAGTTGTCCAATGTTGGCTCAAATATATTTGTCCTATTTTCATCGTCTGAAGAATAATCTGAGCTCATACCATCGGATAAACTGCCTTTTTTCTTATTGTCGTTCTTGTTTTGGCCAAGAGTGAATATTTTCTTGGTCCGGGAGGTACCTTGGTCAAACTTAAGTTGTAAGCTTGGACGCGCGCGGGCATTCAGCGAATGGCTTAGTTTGTTTAGCTTGCTGAATTGTTCCGTCATGTTGGTCAAGGCTTTGGATCCTAAAAAATATTTAGCATTAAACCACGAAAATAGTACATACGGTGCTGTGGACTTAAATACTTATAAATTTACCTATAAACTAATTTTATATGGAACTCTGTTGGTAAGGCAAAACAATATGTATAGGATAAATATAATTGCATTTGATTATAAACTGACTCTACTTTCTCACTCAATAGTATCACGTTACGTAGCTCATTCCACGTTATGAAATAAAAAAAAAAAACAGAAATATAATATCGGTAGTACGACCGCGTTTACGTTCAATTCACTCTCTTTTTCAAATCCAATAGATCTAGATCTAGAATTTAAAAGAACTAACATTTAGATGCGATAGATATAGAGAAGCCCAAAATCGAGGCCTATGTCCAGCAGTGGTATCACCTAAGTTACTACTGTTACTAGAAACATCATGGTCGAGCCGTTAGGTCGCAAACTTGTCGTCGAATTAAACAGCATCTCTTAGACGTTTTTCTTGTGGGTTTTACAAAAGGTAGATAACATAACAAAGAACTAACTAACGGTTTGAGTGCAATGGTATGTTTTCTCACTAGGTGTTGCCAGAATGTAGCGGGCTTGCGGTCGCACTATACCTAGGATCTGGCCCAGCACTGCACTTGTTCCAGCCAAGGAGGAGCCTGATATGGAAGGGATACAGGATTATGTGATTTAGGACAGGTGTGATAGTGGATGAAGAGGTATCTACTAGATACTAATATAAGGGGGTATTTTGCAGATATTATTTATATTCTCTTCAAGAAAGCCATTTGCTTGCATTAGAAATGGTTCACGTAAGTAGCAGTAGTTTTCGAATCTGCAATCACTTATTGCAAGTCCAATGCTTTAATTTATCAAAATCGCTGTTGCAGTTAAAATAAGACCAATTAAAATAATCCTAAGTTTGTGGAATTTGACTCTCCCCAAAATCACCTTGATGCATTTAATCAAAACGTAAAGAAACCAAATGTTGAAAAGGCCTCAATCGCCCTATCATCTTTTATATTATGTATCTATTGTATTTCATTAGCATTATCTTTTATTCTTTTCACACCAAAACTTATTTAAAAAACTCAATCTTACCAACGCTTCTTATATCCGCGACCAATTGTGTTTCGCTAACATTGCGCGTGAGTGTGGGCAGTCGCGATAAGTCCAAATATAGAGACGATCTTGCGCCACCGGATAGGCCGTGTACGGGATGTATCTATAGGAAAAGACAATTATATTTATCCACAGTTACGGTAAAATTACAAAAGTATTATATAAATTGTTAAAGTGTTATAATTCACTAAAAGTTAAAATGATTTTTGTAGTTCTTTATTTAAAAAACAAACCTAAAATTATTTTTTACATAAAATCACTACATTCAAGTTTTACTGCGAAAACTAAAAAGTCAGTTTTGAGTTATTGCTTTTTAAAGTTTTACACCGAAAAAAACTACCCTAACTTTTTTTTTATCTCCGTAATATTTTTATTTCACCTGAATATTCTCTTTATTTCAATTTCGTTCAAGTAGCTTTGTAATATCTCTTGTAGAGCAAGTAGTAGTATTTTTTAATGATATAAGGAAGATTCCTCAACATTATAGTAATTTATATATATTTTAGTATTCATCTAGAAAGAAATTATAATTATTGTGCATTGGATCATTTCTACACAACGCTGTCCCGATAATAACTTACATGTCGGTTAGTAAGTACTTACCTTAGATTTCTTTTTTTCTAGTTTGGCACCATCGTGGAAGGATATAGGGGGTAGCTTCGCCACGTCTCGAGCTACAATAATTGACTCGCAAATAGAATGTAACGATTCTGAAAAACAATATGAATATTAAAATTGGTTTTAAACTGCAACTTTAACTGTTAAAAAGTGTTATTTAAAATCTGTTCAATAGTGTTTACATCTTGTTGTTTTAAACGGGATTAACTAAGTTTTATTCTCTTCTTATTTACGCATTAACTTTAACTCCGTTACAAAGGCACTACCATTTCCCAAAGCCATGTACCCAAGTTTCACTAAAGCATTATCGTCTCTACTCATTTAGAGGTACTTCTGGGTACAATCTTAACAAAATCAGTCTAACATCTGGTTTCCGATGGAGGTATTTCTCTAGTCAAATTAAATAACTTACCGATCATTTCATCTTTGGTATTGATAACAACGGCCATGTTGTTGAAGAACCTCAGCGTGGTGGACCTGAACATGTGGTAGTAACCTGCTTCACAGTTGTACGTGTAATTGATGCGAATGCAGTACACCGGCTCGGAACTGCTCTTGCGGCTCACACCGAACAGCTGAAAATTAAAAAAAACTTTGCTTTCATAAACTGATAACGCGAAACCATACCTATTATATTAAGAGTACATTCAATGAATATGATTTTCAATACATAGTAGCGAAATTTGAAAAATAAATATATTAAGAGGGGATTATTTACAACTTGTAAACGTCAATGCAATTAAAAGTTCAGTCTATAATGTTAATTATCTTTGACCCCGTTTTCTTTCGCATTCATTCGTTTTTTCTTATAGCTCTTTGTTTCTGAAATATAAGTCTTTTTCTACTTCGCTTTGTCATGTATTGAAGTTCCCGTAGGTCAATTCTCGTAATAAGAATAAGTTCTAAATTCAATTCCAATCTACTCTCGATTTTACAATGCGATTAAATCGCATTACGACCGAAAGTTGCTATTCTGCTAGTCTTAGTAATACTTCACTATGAGAAAACCTTTTATGAAATTTGTGATATCGAGAGTAGATCTGAACTATACTGACTAGATTTTAAACGCATTTTTATTACGAGAATTCCCTTCTGCTCTTAAGTGAAGTAACAAACGTACAGAAGAGTTGGCATCGAAGGGGCCGAGTTCGATGTGTGTGACGTCTGCGAGCGACACCCTCTGCACGGCGAGCAGGCGGTCGGAGGTCTCGTCGTAGTCGGCCACGTAGTACGCGTCGCTGGTCAGCACCAGCACGCTGTCCATCTCCGTCTCCTGCGGGTCGCCCGTGCTGGGAGGAAACAGACCCTACAGAACTTATTTATTATCGATATACCCAAGGACTCCCCACTGCTGGCTATGGACCCCATTAGGGCTGTACGAGTATGATTTATACAAAAAAGTCTCATTTTAATAAGAGGGTGCCTAATAATTTAAAGCTGTAGCTTTTTGGAAGGTTGATAGGGATCAAGCGAGCAAAACATATTCTAATTAAATCATTAATGTTCCAAAGAAAGAAAAGTAAGTTAATGAGGTATGTAAGCGTGACAACACTTTACAAACATACATGAAACGGACACAAAGAACACCCAGACTCAGAACAACAATTTGTGGATCACACAAAGTGTAGTCCCATGTGGGGATCGGACCTACAACACTTAGCGACCGCTTAAACCACTCCGCCATCCGTGCAGTCAAAATTATGGCTGAAGTAATCTGTACACCACTTCTAAATGAAAGTCTAATAAGTTCTTTAGCACTTCAATTTTAACAGTCGTCTCGTTTCCTTTGGGGTATTGATATTTTATCATTTTTTAATTTTTTCTGAACTGTCCTCGGGCAAAATAAAACCATATATTATATACAATTTCAACACGACAACAGTGTGTTAGCAAGTGTTCGACTGCACGGATGGCGTAGTGGTTTAAGCGGTCGCCACGCCGCTTATTACTACGCTAAGTGCTGTGGGTCCGATCCCCACATGGGACTACACTTTGTGTGATCCACAATTTTTTGTTCTGAGTCTGGGATGGAGATGAGATGAGATGTTTGTAAAGTCCCCCGCGACACAGGATATACTTATTCCTAAAACGAGAGTTGTCTTTTTAAAAAAGAAAAAAAAAGAAAGTGTATACAAAGCTTGAAATTACATCTAAAACGATTTCTCCGTATCTAGACGTATTTAAGGAACACGTTACACGTTGTGTGAATATATTGATATTTAAATTAACAGTATATTTTACTTAGGATCAGCATCGATAAGTCCCCAGGAGCCAAGGATGGGCTCCGAATCCACCAAAAGCTTCTTGCAGTCGTCTATGAGAGATTTCACGTGTTGAGCCATCGCTGCTGTGTCTACCTCCTGTTGTGATAGAAATTATTACTTCAATCAAGGTTCGAGAGCAACAACTGTATGGTGAAGGTTTTGAACTAAACTACACTAAAGAACTAAAATTGGTTTTGTTAGGTAACAACCAATTTTAGTTCTTTAGTGTCGAAACCAGATATTTTTTAAGCCTTTTTCACGTTAAATTAGACCCCCGATGAGTTTCCCATGAACCCTGGCGTCCACCTGAACTATTTGAGAATCACTAGTCTACAACGTATGTGTAGACTATGACTTCCTAAGTACCCAACTTATCTAAAGGAATAACGTACGAGGAATAATGTGAATTTTTCCGTTTTTAAAATACGATAAAATTTACACTGGAGTATAATTTATCAAACACAATGTGAACAACGTACATTGTACATGAGCAACTTGACAGAGGTGCATCGTCCGCAATCCGGCCCAATCAGCTGTTCGGGTATGGTGCGAGATTCACCCGTCATCACGTCGATGGCTATTTGTCGGAGAGCGTCCTTGAAGGTCGACAGATAGTATCTGAAACAAAATAAACAATGGACATGAGTAAACAATAAAACAGATACGTCAGTTGAACCCTGATGTGATGTGTTATAAGTGTGTTGCTTTGTTAAATAATGGTAGTAACGTGGATAACATATACTAGTATTCTAATCATGCTCCTCCAGTCATCTAAGCTAAGTGTCTGTGTTAGGGGTCACATCGGCAGAGTACAAGGTGAGGTTTGAATCTGCAACCGCGTGACCAAGTTCAACGTCCTAGCCATTATACTACCGGCGCTCCTGGGTTACGAAGTGGACTGATACTGAGTTTAAAATGCAAATTATAAACTTTGGAGGAAGTCATTTCAATTTTTATATCCATAAATCATTTGATATTGGTCTGAACAAAATGAGCAGAGAGTATGAACATAATTAAAATTGATGATTATATTGTTAAAAACCACATAAAAAAATCTAATTCGATCGGATTTAGATGAAGGTAATTAGCATGATATTTATGTATTTTTAATGTTATGTCGATGTAGCGTAGTTGGTTAATGATCACTAAAGCACGCTTGTTTTACGAAAAACCAAACACCAACAAAATAAAACGAAATGTCTATGAATATGAAATTTTTTTTTTCAATAGACTCCTGTCTATTAAATTTAGAGTAAATCTTAATTTAAAACCTTTTGATTTGGGTTAGATTATAGGGGCGCTCTGAATTTTATTTTGTAGTATCAAGTAAGTAAAAACTCTTTAAAAAATGAATCATATCACATACATAATATATAAAAGGTTCTACATTACATACGGTATTAGCGGACTTTTATTAAGGAGTCACGTTCTTCTTTCTTTCTTCTTTCTTTTCAAAATAAGTATTGATAAGTTAAAAAATATCCTAATCTATTTAATAAAAGAAATTTTTTAAAAAAAAACTTTAAATTACCGAGTCCTCTAAAGTTTAATCACAGGACCAATGAACTCCATTCTTAGCAAGAAAGAAATATTGGACTATTAAACAACTTTTACAACATAGATTTAAGAAATATATATTTATTTATAAAAAAACCAAGGTGTTGAGAGCACAACACAATAACATACAAACATCGAGTGAAAAAAGGGACACACTTGAGGAAAAAAGGTAATATTTGAAGTTTGGTAATCCTAAACACAAAGAAAATGTAAGAAAAATTAAGCAAGTACGTACTGTAAAAAATTAAATGATTCACAATATTATAGGAGCAATTATTTACATGTTGGAATGAAAAAAACCTGTAACATTAGGTGATGTAACTTATTTTTGTGGAAGAATTTGCAGGAACGGCTCAGTTTTAGAGTTTCGCCCTACATCAAAACTGTCAAAATTTACCTCTTAATTTTTCGTGTAGATTTAACTTGTACAGGCACAGTCACTATAGGTAGTCCATTCGCGTTAAGAAAAAAGTGACGCGTCGATCAAGCCCCCCCGTACCTGACCAGTCAGGTTCGAAATTATTTTTTTCTTTTTATGAAAGAGGAGGCAGACGCGCAGACGGGTCACCTGATGGAAAGCGACTACCGCCGCTCATGAACGCCTGCAACTCAGGAGTCACAAAAGCGTTGCCGGCCTTTTAGAAAGGAGTACGCTCTTTTCTTGAAGGTCGTATCGGTTCGAAAATACCGCAGATGATAACTTGTTCCACAGATTAGTTGTGCGAGGCACAAAGTGTCTTGAAAAGCTCATAGTGGTGGAGCGCCAGGTGATAAGAATGAAAATTTTGCCGTGTGTAATGATGGCGTAAACTTGCGGCCGGTACTAGTCCGAACAATTCCTTGGAACGATACCGATTCCAATACGACAGAGAATGCGAGTAAAGCTACATCTGTACGTAACGCCAAGGGATCGAGCCGTTCGGAGAACTTTGGGCTATCGACGATTCAAGTCGCTCTTTGTTGGATGCGGTACTGAGGTGCCCCTGCATAGAGCATAGTGAAAAGTTTAGTTTGTCCAGGGAGGAGCCTACTGCTTGCTCAAAGGCCGGCAACGCGCTTGTGACTTCTCGACATAAGTAAAAAGACAAAGAAGGGAGAAGAAAGAAGTATTAGGAGATTTTTTGGAAAGTTAGTGTAAACATTTACACAAGCAAAGCTGCGAACAAACGAAATACCAATATAAAACTGACCTCCCCAGTCCATAAGCGATCTCAGCTCCAGCCAATTCACTAGTCATACCATGGCCAAAGTAACTAGGCATCATTTCTAACTTTGGCCGGTCAATGTCCATATTCTCATACAAAATCAACGACGCTGTCTTTATATCTCGCCATAAGCTATGAAAGCTTTCAATAGTCGCCATATTGACTTCCTGTCCGAGTAAAATGTCAATGGCACATTGTGTTATGGCGTCGTTAAAATGGCAGATGAAAAATCTGAAAAAATTGTGGTCAGTTTGTACCCTGACTCAACCTGACCTGATTTAGGGGTTTCATAACAGCCACATTACCTGTTAGCAGATGCGACGCCGTCTCTCATCAAGCCCGTGAATTTCCTCTCACCAGTTCTTGTGTAGTCGCCCTGGTAATAAGATGAAGATGTTATTTTATTAAAGAAGGGTCTTTTTACTGCTAAATTACAATAACCACCTAAGGAACACTGATAGAAAGAACGTTATTTTCTAAAGAAACGTATTTTCTGAGAATAATATTCATTGCTCTTGTTTCTGAATTGTGATACATTGAGTAATTAGTAAATTATCCACAACAGGCAATAAATTTAAAGAAGATTAAAAAATATAAACATTTTACGGTTAAAGACATTTATTTTTCTCAAAAGATTACAATTAATCACTTGCAGAGAAAAATACAATACTAAACAAAAAAATATTACCTAATTAGCGTAGTTAGTTAGTAAGGTAGTTGAGAAAAGTTTTTAATTAGTCGGCTAGATTAAATACTTTCTATAAAGCTGTGAGTTCAAGAATGTTGGTGCACAAAACAATGCATGTTTGTTAAGGCCTATGACCTATGACACGTACGTGTAGATTGATGTCAAACATTTTATTTCTTATTATAGTGACACCAGCAATGTAATATGTTTTATAAGTAAATAATATGTTATATAATTATATAAGCGGAGTGTAGTGCTTTTATGTATATTTAGACTAAACATAGAAGCGTTGTAAATTGCATCCCAGAATATTATATGTAGTGTTCTATACATAATATTGCCAATCATTTTTTTTTTAACAAATGTAACCTATTTCTTTATTTTATTTTTTCAAAATAAAAAAAATCGCAGTATACCTTGAGCGCCTTGGTGCCAGCGTACTGTCGCGAGATGACGTCCCCGTTGTCGGCCCACATGGTGAGGAAGGCCTGCCGCAGCGAGGGCGGCAGGCCGCTGCCCGGCGTGCCCAGCCCCAGCCGGCACAACTGGAGCTCCAGCACGTACTTCGCTATTGCTGTCTGTAATCATTCACACGTACTTGTACATATGCTTAAACAAAAGAGTTGGACTAATACTACTCCGATCGAATGCACTAGTTAAATTAAAACAATAACAAATTCCACTGAATGTTAGTGTAAGCTGAAAGAATTGGCAAAATGCAGGTGACAATTACGGATATTTTTAATAACTTGAAATATCTTACACTCGGCCGTCTGATACCAAACTAAGCTGAGCCAGTACTCAACTGTTGATAAAAATACTTATATATTTCTTAATACATAGATATTAAAGTTTAATTACACCAGACAGAACAAATGACCGTGCTCATCACACAACTACTCGGGCATCGAACCCATGATAACAGTAATCATAAGCCCAGTAGTCAAAATCCAAAAAAAAACTCTGCACTCTTTTACCAGCAATATCATATTAGGTACATCAGAATTAAAGGAATATTAAGGATACGAATTCACAAACGATTACGTACCTGAACAACATTCGTTCTATCAAGACAATCGATGCAGTTAACCCTGAACACACCATTTTGCGTACATATAAGTCCCTTGTCATCCCGCCAACAGAACCGCATCTCGCTAATCACGTCCGCTATTGCGTTGATCAGGATACTTACATTCTCGTAGTGCATGCCGCGGCTGGAATTCGAGAAAAATGTAAAAAAAAAGTGATAAACTCCAATAACCTTGCATTTATGGACATTGCACGGTTCCTAATGGTCATGATGGTAAATAGCCTACAACTTTTCACCAAACGTGAGTATCAAATCATATATTACTAGACCTCCAACCCAGTTCCCTTCCGTGTGGTGACGGATTAAGAATATTAATAAGGTTCCAAAAAAATTTCATTTGTATTTGTATATCATTCATGATCGATGCGTCACTATTTTCTTAACGCGAATGTACCATATACTAAACTTACCAGTACTCGTGAAAATCAAACGTAGCGTAAATAATATCAGGGCTATTGTACTGTAACACATGGTTGCCGTACGCTTCCCATATGACGCGCTCCCTGCCTTGCTGTTCCACCAGGTTCACAATGCACACCTGCTTGTACAGCTTAAGTTCTTCGGCGAAGTGTTTCTTGAACGCCGAGTGAGATTCTTCGTCGCCTGGAGAAAGATGTATTTAAAAAAAACGTTTCCTTCATTAAAATTATAGAGGCAGTATAAATCATTATCAATGACAAATTGACGGAAGATTTTGAAGAATTTAATTTAAAAAAAAGTTTATTTAATTTTTTTTATTACTAACTTTTGTCAAGCCGCGGTGGCGGTCTGAACTTCAGATCAGGTTGACTCCAAAATATGGGCACTGAACCTCGTACCTGTGAAGTATATTTATCAGTAATCGGACGATTATAGGGTCTGCCTAGTAGAGTAAGCTAGAATGCTTAACTTACGTAAATGTTACTTTATATATGGCTTATATGTGTGAGTATTGTCTTGTACAATTATTTCGGTTTAAAGATCTTTATTTCTCATTAAGACATAGTCAATTACATGAGAACAATATAAAAATAAAATAAAATATTATGTTAATCCGGTGCAGGTAGTTTTAAGTAATAAAATTACATGACGGTTGTCCAAGAATGCGAGCTCGGTACAGAATGAATGTGATGTCGAAACATTTTTTAACATTTTTGTATTATCAACTTAGAATACAAAATAACCTGTTGATATAAGGGTCTCACATTTGCTTTTTTAATACATTTTTTATGTAAACCAAACTTACTACAAGAAAACTTTTACAAAGACTAGAGCCACTTGATCCTAAATATCGACTAGCCCAAGTATTAGTAACTTAATTCCAACATATTTTAGGTAATTCCAGGGTACGGGGCGAGGTTTACAAACCGAAATTCATCTTAATGATGAACACAGAAAACCTTTCACCATAATCCTGAGAACCGCTCGCCATGACTTTGACAATATTGGTTTAAAGTCATACCAAATCTACAGAAGGTATTATTGTATAACAGAATTGACCACCGATGTCCGGACTAGATTTTAATAAGAACAGAAGAAGAATATCAAGAGAACACGAACATTAGTAATTTTGTTGAAAACATTACTTTCTAAAATAGATTTAAACTGTGGAGTACATATTCAAAAAACCTAATAGTGTTAGTTACGGGCGTCGCTTCGCTGCATTTCGAATGTGTCAATGTTAATTGAAAAGCATCACAGCATAACATTGTGATACTTAGGTAACAGTGTACAAACAATTAGGTCAGACATTGTAATAATTTAAATTAAAATAAAACAAATTATAATTTAGTAACACAGTAAGTGTTAAATAATTCTACAGGTTTTAATAAATATGTTACTTTATTGTTTTTATATAAACATTACCCGTATCTTTTATATAAATAAACATGAAATCTTTTTGTTGGTAAGAACATCACTCGAGACCAATTAAATAGTCTTTCGTTTACATGTCAATCATAGTTCAATTTAGGGTTTAAGGAAATCAAAATTACAAACGTTCCCGGAAAATTGGGCAATTAAAGAAAGGCTGAAGATGTTTTTTAAGGGAAATAAAATCAAATCATTGCCTTTTGGACTGTCGACTGTCTCAAGTATATATTTTAAAACCCAGTTTTTTTAGGGAATTGGATAATTTTTGCATATTGTCCAATTTGTCGTCTTCTTTTGTCCCGTCAGTTAAATATTTCCAAGGATTCCAATAAAAAATGCTTACTCATTGGCTATGTTACATTGCGCCGAACAAAATCAGGAAAAGAGCAAGAAGATGACAATGATGTACAACATACAAAATATAAAAGCAAATAATGATTACCTGTACAAAGGAGGCTCTATGTATACTATCGGTGCATATGATGGACACAATTTGTTCTGTTTCTACATAATTGGCAACTTTGCCTTCCGGTTCGATGCCGCGACGATTATATCTTAAAAAAAAAGAACAAAAAAATAAAGACATCCTCATTGACTGAAATGAATAATTATAAAGGCGCGCTGTGCCTACAATATTATATATTAATCGATGGAATACACGTTGGACGATGGAATAAACTCACCTAGTTCCAGCTTGGTACCTCGACCGCCTCGATATGAGGCCGAGGGTAAAGGTCTCATCACACGAGCTCGCGTTGCCGCCAGGATCCGCGTTGAGAGGATTTGCATCAGGAGGTTCTACTGCTATTTGTGAGAGGTGCACGTATCCCTGGATCACTGGAAGGATCCATTGGTCGCACGCTGGACTCTGGGATCATAACAATGGACATGACTGCAGTTTATGGAAACGGAAGGATACAACTGCCTTATTTGAGGAGGTTAAGGTATATTATTGATTGTGTATTAACTAAGCGTGACGCATAACTGTATTTTAGTATTCTTTATTACTGAGAGGATACTTTTTTACTCTTTCTTTATTACTTTACATATTAGTGATAGATACACATACAAAAATATATGAACATAGAGTTTGGACGCGATGGCTGTTGCCAAAGGTGAATTTTTAAAGAAAAACGGCGTGCAATAATTTATAACCAACATGGACATTGAAGCTGTTAAGAAATACTACGTAACATATGATACGGTTATTAACCATCAGATTAAATAAGCGTGAACGTAGTTGAACATAAAAGTCGCGCTTACAAGACCAACAAGGTTGACTTGAATCTGAAGAAAATAAATTAAAACAGAATATAAAAATCGACTTCAACAAGTTTAAATAACTCCACTACAAAATTAAAAAAAAACAGTATTCCACCATTCTTAAAAATGTATTATCTAATCAAATTTATACATGGACTTAAGTTTATTTTCCTAAACATTTTTATTTTTTTCTTGATCTCATCATAATATTCATATATTCTTAAGTAAAAAATGAAAATAATATGAAACTCACCCCAAGCGCAATAATATCCTTTAACATATGCTTATTCCAAAAGAACCGATCGTCGACGTGTTTCCACCATTTGGTGATATCAATAACGGGCTTCCCAACACCTTCCGCTGTTTCAAGCATCTTCTCTATCTCGTACTGTCTCTGGAGACTATTCGTCAAATCCAAGGTCCGGGAATAGAAGAAGCTATCGGAGTCGTCAAATATTTTAGTTAGTTCATCTGCTAGTCGTTTCTCAAAACGCTCTGAGAGTTTCGGATCTCGTTGTTTTTTAACTGTCTGTTTCACCTGTATGGCAAAATATAAAATAGTTTTAAATAATTTTGCAAATGATGTAGCAAATGATTCAAGTGGTCTCTTACGTAGTTAAAGTTAAAATTATATATTATTAATAAGCTTGTTAATTGTTTGTTTTATATATTATTATATTTTATTCTTTGTTTTATATTTGTTCAATTAAGTGTTAAAATCACATAGATGTTTTTTCCAATTTTAGTTTTACATAGATATATACATACATACACTCTATTATGCATGTTGTGACGCCTTAAAATGTTGTCCAATAAACTGAATGCATAATAATAATAAATGCATGCTTTAGATTTTAGTAAATAATGTAACAACTACTGGCTGTCCAATAAATAAATTTAAATTAAGTATGTAGATTAACTGTTACTTTGTCTTTGAACCAGTCGCGTTCCCGCATTTGCAGCAATAACATTTCTAGGAGTAAAATAATAATCCAAATGCGACTCTTAGTGTTACAGTTAAACAATATACGTAATTCGATCGATGAGGAAAATTGAGTGATCGCGGCGGATAAGAAGATCCCGAGAAATTCAGATTATCCTTTTTAACAGTGCTATTGTTATACTTTTAAATATTAAAATTACCGTAAAAATGTTATAGATCTAATAATATTGTTCTCTATTCCTCGAAAACAATACTTTTGTCGGATAAAGGTAAAATTGTATGTATGTATTTCAATAGTAGTATTTCAAAAGTATTGCAATTTCTTCTGCTAAGAAGATGTTTCTATGCAAATTTAGTTTCTTTTTGCATTAAAAATTACGATGAAGCATAGTTTAATAACATTTATTCAGTTCCACGATTGCTATCATGACAACAAATACTATCTCTAATCTTTTGATGTTCTATTACAATAGAAATGATAAAGCCTTGGTAGTAACTTTATCACTTTTCACGCACCATACCTATTTAAACCATAAATATAAAAGTCGTTTATGGCAAAAAAATAATGTTGTGTTTATGCCTTGGAGTATAATTTAAATTTACTATCTTTATTTTATTAAATCCATTTAATCCAAATCAATAATTAGATGAAATCATACATTGTTTTTTTAAATAAATGATCACATTATAATTCATTTAAAATTATAGATTCACATACAGACACCATAAAAATAGGTTACTTAACAAATGTAAAATTATATTATTGACTGGTCTGTTGGTCTAGTGGTAAGTGATCCTGATTTCTAACCAAAAGCTTTTTTTTTTGTTAATTACTTGTTAGTACAGGTAAATACTGTGAAATGTTTTTTTAATGCAATCTCAGTATGTCTTTTCAAATTGTAAACTATGTTTTATATAAATAAATATAATAAGTTGTATATATATATTTTATAAATTAGTCCTACTGAAACCGATTCACAATTTATTGTTAAAGATATCTAATTGTCAACATTTACCCACACACATACATTCTAATTTAAAACCTACTTTTCTGCCAATCATGAATATTTCTTACATTTTATAACATTGGATGTAATAAATAATGACATTATTGAGGAAAACTTATTGACATAATGTTTTTTATTATGCATAATGTATTTAATTAAGAATGTTAAGGAAATTGTAACACTAATTAAAATGATAAAAGTAAATCACACTTAAGCACTACAGAGAGTATCTAGATTCATAGTGTGGACACATTCTTGTTATTTTGAACTAACAGACGACGACAAAAAACTAGTAACTTTAGTGAATTAAAACTCAATGCAGTGAAATGGTTTCCTAATGCAATCTAGGTTAGTATGCCTTTTCAAATTGTAAAGTATATTTTATATAAATAAATATAATAAGTTTTAAATATATTTTATATATGCCTATAATCAGAGAGCAAATAACTAGACACACTAAGGTATACAGGGACAGAATATTAAACCACCCAAATATAATGGCCCAACAGCTTACAGACAACAGTCTGAAAATACGTCGACAAAAGCTCAGAATCCTCCAGGATGTGCTGTGATAAAAGCACATTAAAATAGAATAGACCTACAAATTATGCTCAATCTATAGCTTAACGTCCTGATAAAGAGACAGATAGGTGTAGAAAAAATGAACAAAAAAAAAATTGTATAAATTATCGTTACGTTGTATAAAATCGCTTTCGAACGAAAATCGAACGAAAGCCGCAATACAGGCTTTGCCTAGTGCAGTTTTCACTGATATTGTAATGACATGTATCATGAATGCTAATAAATAATATTATTATTTTGGATTTAAAAAAATGATTTCTCAGCTATTTAGCTACTTCTATCGTATTTCGATCCTAATCTAAGTAAATCCAGCATGTGGTGTGTTCATTATGTTGGTGTGTTGTCATCAAACTAACTGCAGGATTTTACGATTATGGTGGCTTTCTGCAAACTTATATAAAGGAATTCTGATAAACCTACTCGTAATTGTTTAAAGCTATGGAGAAGATGGTTTAGAATGATGGGTGTACCCAGCATTTATTTAGGGGTGGGGGCAAAATTAAGCAATGAAGATAAATGATTGGAAATTAATAATTCTTTTTTGTGACGGGTTCTATAGTCCTCTCGGATCTCTGGCTCCTAGGGGACGCAGGAGCCAGAGATTCTGTTTTGGGCCCTTTGTTGTGGAACCTCGCATACGATGCGGTCGAGGTGGGTCAATACATGAAGTATGATAGTCGATACATAGTGGAACTTCGAAGAGTATTTCGGGCGAGTGCCCCGAGTGCGAGAGGTAGCAGATGCGCTCCATCGCCTGATACCTAATCTCGGAAGGAGTTCGGCCTCTACAAGGGTGTCGCGCGATCTATGGCCCTTTATGAGGCACCCGTGGTCTAATGACCTGGGGGGTTGACCGTTGCAAGGCTCTACTCTGAAACCTGCACCGCGTGATGCCCATAGGGATTGTATGAGCCTACAGTACGATCTCGAATGAAGCAGCGACGGTCCTAGCGCGATCTCCGCCCTTCGACGTTCTGGCTGACATGGGCGCGATGGTCATCTACCAAGTTCGCTCTGTCGATCGGAACGGTGAAGAGGCCGCGCCGGATCATGATCTGCCACACAACTCGATGTTAATATATTGAAAAGGGCTATGTACGTTTCGATTTTCTCATCACTTCACATCAACAGCCTTTAATAGTCCACAGCTTTACATAGGCTTCACCTTAGAAATCCTTATCACTTAGTAAAGCGTAAATGATTGATTTTCTTCTAGTCCAACTAGCATTACTGCATTGTTTTTACGGGTGGAAATCATCTCAAGCCGTCACCCCACCGGAATTTGCTATGAACCAGTTTGTCAGATTCGTACCTACTAAAACCACATGGCGTGCCACCCTATGTCTGAAGACCTTAGGATAACTAGCTGTACATGCTGCCTAATGCAGCGTGTATAGTAAAAAACTTAACGAATAGAGGAGGCAATTGAATGATGCGTCACCAAATATTTCCTTTGTTTGTTAAATTTAAGCTCATCTTTCATACAGCACACTAAAATTGTTGTCTTCATAATTATTCTGCCGTAAGTAAATTTCGGTGTTGCAATGGAATCTGTTTATACTTCATGAATTCATAGATTATGTTGTTTCCATAAGCACTTCTTCTTTCAGGTCAGCATACCTGCTTATTTTTTCAGGTATTGTTTTTTGTAAATTGTGTGTTTATTATTATTATATTGATGTATGATTGTACATAGCTGATACATCATTACATTCAGAATAGGTGTACTGTTAGTTAGTGTTAGTGTATATGCCAATAAATGGCGAGATAAAAATGTGCAGGTAGATACAGAATCTTCTACCCCACGAATTTGAAGTGTTGGCTTGAACTACTGTGCCAGTCAGCCGTCAGTGTCAGCAGTCAGTGACTATGTGCATTCTGTTTGAAGTATCAGGCAATTGAAGGATATGTAATATGGGATAGGCAGAGATAATAGCCCACCACTTTCTGCTATCCTTACATATCTACCTATAGTTTTTTTTAATGTCAATAACCCAGCCAGGTTGGGAGTGATACAACGAGTATGAGTACCTGCTTTGGAGGTAAGCAAGCACTGAGTGAAATGGTTGAGTTGACTGCTGTCAGGAGAATTGTCTAAATAGGGAATCTATCAGGAGATGCTTTAAATGCTTGAAGAATCAATATATTTCTTTTTTTATTTTTGTTTTCAGTTCTGACAAAAAATTGAATAGGTAGTAAGACAATTCAAATAACTGAGGTCAGAAGGGCAATGCTCGTAAAAAATGGTCAAATCTCGATGTCGTAACAGCCATAAAACATATTTTCGAAGTAAAATTGTATAGTATTTCTAAGACTAGCAGACTTCTGATGCGATTTTCGGTTACCATATAATATAACCACATATCCAATGTTATTTTGTAATAATTCCAGTTATTTGTCTTCTTACTACAGTAAAATGGTATTCAATGTCGTAAATATGTTTTTAAATCACAAGTATGAAATAAATTATGTTATGAAATATAAATAATAATAATAATTGATTATAAATTATTATTATTATTTGGGGAGTCTTCATCTGGCGATGGATGGCGATAGGCTACTAAGAAGTATTAAATATTTTCAGAAGATAGAATAAGTCAATAAATAATACATTTAATAGATATTGTTACCTGTGTAGCTGCTTGTTGAGTAGTAGTCTTGATGGTGTTGCTCACATTCTTAACAGCACCAACAGTCTTATTTAAAAATGCTGAATTTTCAAATAGTCTTGCCCCCATTTTTTTATTTAATGACTTGTTTGAGCTAGTAACACTGTTCAAGGAACCATGCTTAGTGCAAGGAGATAATTCCACCTCTTGGTTATTGGGGCCCATATTCAAAAAGCATACAGATTTGATTTTATATATGGTATGATGGAAGTATATAGTGCCTACTGGAGCACTCTCCTTTATAATCATTAGGCGTGGTTCGAACACATTGGAATGCTCTACTTTGCCCAATATACCGTCTGTGATGCCTAAGCATTCGATGTCTTCTATGTCGGAGAGATCCCATGCTAAAACAACGGAGTGCAATTCAGTGTAACGCGTTATTTTGCAATGCATAATTTCCGGATAATACGCTACTCACAAAAAACTGTACTTTATACATGACTATAAGTCATTAATTTTCACAATGTTTATGCAAAATTTAGGTCAGTTACCATTGCAATTATCAAAAAATTATAGATTTTTAATAATTACCTGATCGCACTGAAAATGCCCCTGTTAGTCTATTCCACCACAAACTTGATTCGTTTCTAACGAATATGTAAAACAGCTCTGATCTAAATAATTCCATTTTGATTTACTTTATTACACGCACACTACGTTTATATTTAATTTCATCGTGTTTATTGTTGTTGTATTTTGCACTGATTTGACATTTACTGAAAGGAGAAGGGGCAGAATGTTTTTTTTGAAAAGTTGGTACCGATTAAATAGTTCTATTGATACAATATCTATAGACGTAGCATTTCGTTTTAGGATTGTTGGAATGAGAAGTAATATTATTATGTTTATTCCAATGCAAACAGAAGTCCAATCTTGTCGTAATAAAATTTTCTTCAAAATTCAATACCTATCTCCTCTCGATCTCACACATGTCACAAAAGGTATTTTCATGGTAAAGTACATCCAACTTTGACTGCATTGTGATTTTATCATATTGTAACTGAAAGTTGAATTGGTAATATCTTAATCTAAGTAATACTTTATTATTTTACTAGGAAAATACTTTTTATGCCATTTGTGATATCAAGAGTAGATCGAAACTTAATTTTGAACGAGTTTTTATTACGAGAATTAACCCTCCGGTGTCATTGTGTCAATCTACAGAGGTCAACCTACTATTTTAAATAACTTTATTAGTGTAAAAATACACTCCGTCCATTATTTTAATATCTTGTCCACTGTTTGATTAGTAGTTAACTAATCTTTATCAATAAAAAAATATCGTTAGTAAGCTAATACAGTATTCGTTTGGTTAAAAACCTACTGTACGAGTTTAATAAATTATATTAACAATGATCAATGTGTAAAATAAATTATAGTCAATTTAATTGAAGTTTGAACTTTAAACAATTTAAATTTATTGGAATAAAACCATAATGAGTTAAAAAAATATATTTAAAAAATCATAAGACCATCAATTCATAGAAATAGTATAATTAAATAAAAATCAGTGATTGTTTACTTTTCTCACATATTCAAAAAATCTTACAACCTCTGACGGACTCTTACGTTCTCATGCAGCTATCAAAAAGAATATAAACGAATGGGCAGAGTAGTCTTTACACATTATTTTTGTTTGTTAAGGAATATGGATGTGAATTAGCTAAAGCCGAGGGTCAGAATGGCTGTCGTCGTGGCGACACGTCGACGCGCTATGTTATAGTACTTACGAGTATTATGTAACATGTAATTCAGTGTGAACACTTAATTTTTGTATTAAATGTATATGAACGTATATGAATGTATATTCAATGAACATTTTTTTTTTAAGAAAATCTACATCCGTTTAGTTTTTTTTGGTTTAGTTGTTTGTAAATCAATTTTAAAATGGTTTGTCTTTCTTCTTTTCTCTTCTTATAATTTCATCCTGAAGGCCAATTCTCGTATTAAAAGAAAGAAAATACCTTTTATGACAATTGTAAGATCGAAAATTGATTGGTACTGAATCTAGACCGAATTTTATTACGAGAATTGGCCTTCAGAGTCGAATGTTAGGCTTAAACTCTTTAGGCTACTGGTGATTTTTTTTCAACTTTTATGTGTAAATATACCAATGTATACTTTTATAATACATCTACACTTAAAATTTTAGTCCTACAACAATCAAATTACAAAAAATCTAGTAAACGCATGAAACATCAAGATTTAAAACATATAAATACTTTAATAGAAAAGGAGAATAAATTTATGACATTAGTATTCAAGATCCAATAAAGCTCCGAAATTATAATAGTCACTAGCATATTTTCACAGACTTAGTCTGAAAGGAACGAAACCTCTGGCGTATTTTGACAGTAAAATTACAAACATAGTTTGGTATGTTGGCCCTACTGTTTTAGTTAATGTCTCGGCTTCCGGTTGTAGAAAACGCAGCATTTTGTTGGTTTTAGGCGTCTCTTTTGGCTAGCTCTGGCGTTTTTATAACAAAATGGATTGGCAATTAACATGTCGAGTATGTTTAGAAACTGGGGATATGGTTTCCCTCTTTGATTGGGACGAAAATAATGAACAACTCGGCGACAAGTACACCTATTGCTGCGGCGTGGAGGTATGTAAAAATTACCACACCAAAATGGTTGCGATGGCCACCCTATTTGATTTTTTACTACAATAATGTTGCTATATTGGTTTATTTTGATAATTATTTAGCGAATTTGTGATTTTTCACTGACATCCCAGGAGTTGTTAACTTATAGTATAAAATATTACTAGTAAAATATAGGTAAATTTTATTCTATTTTAGGTCTCTAAAAACGATAATTTACCGACGCTAATATGCTTGAATTGTGTCGATCGTCTGACTTATGCATACCAGTTCAAACAGCAATGTTTGACTTCCAACGACACATTGCGAGAATGTTTGGAAGAATTTAAGAAAAGCTCCGAAATCGTGTCTGCAGGAAACTCATCCAAAGGTTAGAATAATACAATTTATGTTCATGTATTTCTTATTAAACGTGTCAACGCATCAAATTACGTTCCCGCCCAAATGTCTTGTCTTTATGCATACAATCGTCGCCAGTATTTTCAGAATATTCTAAATAATATAACAAAAGTGCTCATATACTGAAGTAATTATTATCTCCTGACTGAAATCCAATTATCTATGCACTGGCCAAGACACAGCACAAAGTGTGTCTATGCACTGGCCCAGACACAGGACAAAGTGTTATTGAAAGATGTAACCAACAATAACTTCATACTTAATACCTTGTTATAGGAAAAAATCTGTTACAATAAGTTCTAAATTATTTGGTTGATCAATAACTACAGAACAAGCAGTTTGGGAACAACACAAAACTTATCACAGAGTAAACAAAAGCAGTTTGATGTCAACTTTCAGGTCCCACCGAAACAGAAACTATCACCATTAAGCAAGAGAATGGTCTACTTCTTCAATATGAGTTGCCCGTAGAACATGACCCGCAAGGTCAGTGGACTAGGACACTGGTGAAGACACCAAGCACTGCAGTTGTTACTAAAGCCCCTGGGCCTAGGAAAAGAGGTCGGCCTAGGAAATATCCTAATGAACAAGGGCAAATTGGTAGGTTGTATTCTTAATACTATTTAAAGGCCAGTGTACAATATTAATAGACATATTCACATAGTTAAGCGTGAATAAACCCTGATGTTGCAGTCGAAAACTCAATCACGGTGATTGAGAAAAGGAGGTAGAGAAATATAGGAGCTTAAGATATAAATAACAATATGAAGAACAATAATATTATTAGTTTTCTGTGTTTGAAAAATATAGATAGAGAAAAATTTAAAATAGCCAGAAGCAATTTCTTCCCTAAGTAAATATGTCTCCTGTTCTAAATGTAAACTTAATTGTATCCAGTCTACCAATATATTACCACAATACATAGTTAACATTATAGAATACTCTGCATTTGGATAATGTTGCCAAGTAAATTTAGTTCAAAAATGTTGATTTCAATGGATTTTTGATATCTAAATACTAATATCTTACTTTGTGGTATTATGTTTATTTATTTTTTAATTTCAGAATTATCACCCTACCAGCGCAAGAAGCCAAAAAATCATGAAAAAGAGCCAGAAGCTCTGACCACACTGCTAGCGACTGGATCTCTTGATTTGAAACAAGAACCAACTGATGAAGATACTTATGGTGGTGATGTTAAGAATTATTTAACTATTCAGCATATATTTATTCCATTTCTGCATTTTGAATCTTAAAACAAACAATATATGTGATGATAGGATTAATACACTACCAAATGTAGTTGAATTGTTATGGTGGTCCTGTTGGTCTAATAGTTTGGTAACATTTTTGATAATTGCTAAATTTTAAATCAACGTTGTATCAAATCAGTCGGCATCATATACAAACAAATAACTTTGTGCATAACCAACAATACCTTAAAACTTCTCAGTTGCACTGAAAACTCATGAGTTACTTTTATTTTTAGAATTTGGCAGTATAGATGATGATCCTGACTTCATACCTGGTGGAGATGATCCTGAATCTGAGCCTGAGACAAAGGAAACAGTATGTATTACATTTGTCACTTTAAATAATAAACATCCCAATGTCATGTATTCAGATAGGTAATATAGATATATGTATAGTGTTAACAATCACATCACATCAACAGCCTTTAATAGTCCACTGCTGAACATAGGCCTCTCCTTAGAAATTAGGTTTTGGCCTACTATACAGGCTTTGGGTCAAGTTTTCCTTCTTTTTGCAGTGCTGGTGTCCTGTGTTGTTTTGCGCCCCTAGTCGGCTCTTACGACACCCACGGGATGAATTGGGGTAGTGACATTCCGTATTGTTAATCAGTCACTACACGGAAAACAACAGTTTTACAGTTTAACAATAACAGTTTTAATTATTATTAACATTTAATCAATCTGTAAGTGTATACTGTGCATGTTTTTTATAAGTGTGTTTTAAATATGATCATACTAACTTAGTTTTCAATAATTATGACCAGCAACAAAGTCGCAAACGCGGACGGCCGCGCAAGATATCAGACGCAAAAGTTAAGACCAAGACCGAGGATGGAGAAGACATGCTTCTCAAGGAAACTATACTGGCGTTTTCAGAGCCGATACCGGAACATATTCTGAACCCCAAGCCTAAAAAGAAGAGTATAAATAAAAAGAAATACATATATGAAAAAACGTAAGTTGATTTTATAATTGTAGAATAACCGAATTAGTCTTATACCAATACTGATGATTTAGAATTCAGTTTGACCAATATAGTGAGACTACATCTTAAAATCCTGTTATTACTTATATTATACACTGTTTTTGAACCGTGACTTTGCTTGTGTAAGGCTAAATGAGCTTAATTATATAAATTGTGTCGCATAAAATGAGTTGCAGAATTAAGACTGCATTCAGTTTCATACTAAAACCCTGCTTGTACCACACGGCGACGAAGAATGAGTTGTGATAGTTAGCATAAATATTTTTATTCTAGATTGAATCATTTCTAGATTTCTATAACACAGTCCAAGTATATTCAAATAAATTTGCATTATACTCGTAATATTAAGTTAGGACCAATATAACATTTCAATTGACTGACCTTAAGGGAACTAAGTAGGATCGGAAGGCTGTATTATTAATAACTACATTGTTTATTGAATAATTATAGGTTAAAAATTAGATGTGTTTATTTGGTTTTTAGACACACGTGCGAAACTTGCGGCGCGTCGTTCACTTCTAATGCATCTCTCCAGGCGCATATTCGACGACATTTGGGCATCAAGCCGTTTGTATGCAGGTATGAACAATTCTTAGTTCTGTTTTGGTATACACAATCAAATTTGGCAACTGGAAAATACCTAGTTTATAGAGACACGTCTTTGACTTAGCCGCTTTTAAATATAAGTTCTTAATATATAAATTGTCTATAAAATTATAATGAGCTGCCAGTGAACAAAATAATAGCTCAAAACTTTTTTTGAGTACAGCTTTCTTGTAGTATTTTACCGAACTTTTATCTCACTATGTAATAACATTTATGTAATAAAGACTTTTTTAAACCCAATAATGACAAGTAGAAGATACATTTTAATTAATTGATTACAACTATTTGATGCATAACTTCTCTAGTATATAAATAGAATACCGATACTTAAGTGTGTTTTGCACATTAGTAAATATTGTACTACATACCTTAGGTTTTTTAATTTTTATTACGAGTTTTAAAAGTTAAATTATAATATGAGAAAGTATTAAGAAAATAATTGATGTGTATACTAAACCAAGTTTTTTTCTGGTTTTTGTCATTCTTTTTTATGTTACCTCTTATCACTTTCATGTTTTCGAATAATGGGTGCGGGTGGGGTTTTAAACTAGTTAGTTATTTCATTACATATACCAGAAATAAATACACCTGCGCCCATAAGGAACGGCCGTACACACTGTTTTAATGAGAATAAACTTCTACAAAAAGCTAAAAGAACGCACTCGCACCCGTAATTTAAAAACAGTAAACGAAAGTGAATCTTTTTTTATATTTCACTATCTAAAAGTAACCCTCGGTGTATCGGTGCAAGGAAGAGAAGCTCCGTTAGTATATATAGTTGTTGTATATGTTGATGTCGTCGGTAGCGTGTGCGGGTACGCGTGCGTTCTGAACATGGAGCTGCGGCGCCACATGATGCGCCACACCGGGGTGCGCCCCTACAAGTGCCGCGTGTGCGACCGACGCTTCGGGGACTTCGGCAGTCGCCAGAAGCACGAGAGGCGAGTGTCGATCCCTCCCTTCTAGCCCTCTCGTACTCTAGAACAGTGTGTACTTCGTAGGCTGTTCCTGCGTCGTCCGTACTTCTGCGAATAAAACATGAAAGTTTATAACGAGGTAAGGTGTGGAAAACGTTCATGATAGGGATGTTGCGCATCATAAACTGTCGGATATTAAACTGGACGCCCTTTAATGTGGACTAGAGTGGTAACGTGAACGCGTTTAAAGTCATTCTTATCACTACGTTTTCCCTAACAAATCGGACGTTTTTCCCGTCTCGATGCTTCCCCGAGTCGAGCTACATTCAAACAGTGATATCGCCCTGGAAATGCGAAGCGTGTATCTTGGCTTGGGGTAGTAGTGTAGTAGAAATGGTCGGTCCCAGCGTGTGCGGGTTCGCGTCGGTGATGCGCGAAGCGCTGAAGCGCCACATGCAGCGCCACACCGGCGAGCGGCCCTACAAGTGTCGCATCTGCGACAGGCAATTCGGGGACTACGGCACTCGACAGAAACATGAAAGGTAACCTACTTTTATTGTTGTAATTCATTACAATCGATCTTATCTAGCGTCTAAACAACTCGAATTTAATCTTTGATGATATTTATAAGAAACGATCTTAACATATCTTGAATATAAGGATTTAGATAAGATTGATATAATTCGTTCTTCGTGCTGTAATATGCATTAGTGACTGCAGCTAAGGTATTAAGGCAATGTGAATGTGGTTTGTATAATGGAATGAATTCTACTTAGAAACGTTTCTTTCAAAGGTTAGTATAATGGTTTAAATTTAAAATAATAGACATGAAAAAGTAAATTTTTTCACGTCCGCTGGAACAATAGAAACTACAAACAAAAAAATATAATATATTTAAAAAATAGCAATTTCTAAAACAAGCAAAATAATATAATATATTTAAAAAATAGCAATTTCTAAAACAAGCAAAATACTTTGCGTCGTTTTACTATACTGTAGCATTGATGGTTAAAATAATATCATTCAGATGTGAATAATAGTGTTAAAAAAATATTCAATATGACTCACCGGATTTCTAAAGTTGCAAAAAGTTTACAAGTTAATCACATCACACATCACAGTAATATACAAAATTAATATCATTCATTGGATTATCCCGTTTATAGGCGCGTTGTTCTCTCTGTAAGTCGTTTAGTAATCATTATCATACTAGTTAAGACCCATTCCAGTCGACTGAATTTGAAAATTAATATCATTCGTATCACTATTTACAATTTACAGTACATACAGTAATTCGACATATATTTCATATATTATAAACTAAACTTCGATCAACAATAGCAACTAGATAAAGGGTTACGTACAAAGTCAAAGCTAAATGCTGTCCGCGTCAATATATACTTATGCAGCTACATTTGTTTACCAACAAACGCATGGAAAAGCTTTGAAATAGTTTTAAGTTCAACCTAATTACAACTATGTTACACAGTAATAAAGTCAAAAATCTTCAAAATATTATCTAATACTTACGATCATTCCTTGCAAAAAACGAGGAAAGGAATAAATTACTCCTATCACTTTCAAACGAAAAGACATAACTTAAATAACATTTAGTGTAAAATCAACCTTCTAGAGCAACAAATAAAGTACTTTTTCTCGTTATTGCCTTGAGAGCTACATCGTTTTGTTTTGTTTATTTTTGCTTCTTCGAGTTCTACTACAGAAGGTACGGAGTCGCGTTGAACACTAAAATAATTTATAATATTAACGTAAAATATTAGTAAATATTATTAATATTAGTAAATATTATTAACGTAAACCTCCTTTCTAAGGAGAGGCCTATGTCCAGCAGTGGACTATTAAAGGCTGATGATGTGATGTGATTAGTTGCTTACTTTTTATGTTTCGGACATCTATGTATGTTTGTTAGTATAACTAGCGGCACGTAAGTCTAGCGCTGAGCGGAACGTGGAAGGGATAGCCGCGCATGGGTACTATCGCGCACGCAAATATTAACTTCAGTAAATAGTTAATGTTATAGAGTGTAACTTCTGAAAGTTGTTCACGTGCCAGAGTGGTCAAATTTGAATTTCTTTATTTTCTCAACAATAGGTTCAAAAGGTAAGTAAGTAATCATACTATATAACATTATAAATGTGAATGTAAGTTTGTTTGTTACGCTTTCACGTGAAAACTACTTAACCGATCATCATGAAACTTTGTACACATATTCTTGGAGGTTTTAGAAGTAACATATGATACTTTTTATTAAAATAATATTTTTTACGAAAGATAAAACTGCGAGCGAAGCCGCGGGTAAAAGCTACAAGAATATATACAGACAGTTATTGTGCTTGTAGGAGATGGGAGCCTGCACTGGGTTGAACCAGTATTATTGGTCTCCATGTGTATTAACATTTAAATCTTAAGTAGTAGTAATAAACGTGTATGTAAAAAAAAAGTACTTTGTTTGTGCGTGTGCGTGGTGTGCGTGCGTATGTATGCGTGAGTGTATGTGTATGTCATTATTATAGTTTATAGTTCCAATATCCAAAAAAAATATGTTACCCAGGATTTTTAACAAGTTTATAGGAAGTAGAAAAATTAAAACAGAATTTGTTGAACTATAATTATATGCAATTCACTTTGTGAAAGTTTTCAACTTAGCAGTTTATTATCTAAACAATGATGCTTGATTTGTCGCATTAAATACCACAACAATTAACGCAGTCCTTTCCCTACCACAACATACGACTGTAACGTTAAATAATTTTAAAACGCTTTTTTTATGTCTTCTGTTCCCAGCTGCAACCTGCATTGTCTTTAAATGAGTATTGTATTTATTGCAACAAAAATTAACAGCGATAACAATATAACTCAGAACGCGACTGTACTCTGGAAGCACGCGGCGTGTCGTATCAGTGCGGGGGACGTAATGCGACTGGAGAGCCAATCGGCGCTACGCACGCCCGCCCTTCGTCCCTCTTACCCCAAAAAGTACCTGATTTTTGACTTCTGCGCAGTAACTGTCACCGCTAGAGTTTCGTGCCGCTACTTATATCTTTACATTACTTATTATTTTATTAACGTTACGTTTTTGTGTAATATGTATGTGTATTTACTTTATCACATAAAATGTGGTATTTACAAAAGCCATTTAGACGGATACAGTATTAGTCGTTATCAAAATAAATACGTTAGTTATCTTAAGCATTTCATACACATTATAATACACCATACAATTTAAATGAATATGTTAGGAGATATCTTAAATTAAAAACTACGCGCGAGTGAATAAATTCGCAAATAAAACTCATCCAAACCAACAAGCTAATGCAAAAAAATGTAGGCATTTAATGATTTAAGCGACCCGCCCTGACACCAAAAGTAGGACCCGTACAGATATACTAAATTAAATATCTCTAAATTCCACATCTTTTTATGACACCTATTACTAAGTACTTATGTATGTATATTTGCTGGTATGTATAAGTATTTGTTTTTATGAATATAAATATGTATATCTATTTATATATATTTGCGAATGTGTATCTTTATTATATTTTATATATGTAGTTATTATCTCTTTTATATTCGTTAGTATTAACCTGAAAAACTCATTTCACCATCAACTACTACTATATCTCTCGAACATTTTGATCCATCCTAAGGTTGCCTGGAAGATTGTAGAAGACATTGTATATCTAACACTTTCATGTAACTATCATGCTTCTTGTAAAATGGTGTACAAATAAAGAGTTCTATCTATCTACCTATCTACTGCTAAAAAAATGACTCACTTGCACTTCAATGTCAGATACTAAGAGTTTAGTATTGGGTGCTGCCAATTGTGGGTCGTTCGGCGGGGATTGAATAAGTGTTTTTGAAAAGACTCTTTAATAATAGATAAACATGAATTCCCACAACACAATGATTTATCACGTCACAAATACATTTAAGCAGACACAAAATTACATTACAAAAACAGATATAAAATTACATTTCGATTGTGAATCACTAATGAATGTACCTGTAATTTAGGAACTGCTGTTTTAACCAATCGACGTCGGTTATTATTTTCGGATATATCTAACTTATCAAAGTGATCCGAGCATATAACCGAATTCTTAGCTGGCTTATAATAGTCATCTCTTCTTTCTCTGGTGACAATCGAGATCCACTCTGCACACGTAAACGGATTGCTAGGAAAGCTAAACAAAAGTAGCTTTAACTAATTTTAACCAACCAATTTTGAAGTTCTGTTAAAAAAAAAGAATTAAATTATTACACCATAAATCTACTCCATGCATCTACTGTTCTGTTAAACAAAAGTTTGTGCGCGTGTTGGCGAGCCTTGGCCAAACATTTGTAGCGCTGGTTTAAAATCGGTAATTTTGTTCAAAATTTGATATTATTTATTAGTTTAAAGCTTAAAATACAACTTATTCTTCATGTACTTACCGAAAGTAAGATACTATGGCCGTTAAATTTCGTTTTCGGGAATTATTTTTGCAATTTTGAATACACACTGCGGCATTGTGAGACGTGTTTACATTGGCTGTGTTTTAAGCGAACCAAACAAAATAAGAGCTAAGAGCTCACGTCTCAAGTGCGCTCTTATTTATCGAGACGTATTTTTTGGGCCGACCCGATATCTAGTTGCTATTGTTGATCGAAGAAACTAAAGGAGGCTGACCGATTTGGGCCAAGGTGCGGACAGCAGTTTTATAAATAAAGGAAAATGGTCATAATTTTCTTTTATTATAAAATAATTATGAGTACAATTTGGTAGTATCAAGTGAACATATATAAAAAAAGTATTTCAAAATATTTATCATTATTTATGACGTACATCCGTTCATTTTGTGAGCGAAACGTGTCGTAAGTGTTGCATACAAAAAATAAGTAGTGGAAAAAGTGATTCAAAAAAACACACTAATAAATAATAGTCTCACTTACAAAGTACTTTGAAGTCGGTAATACCTACAAGACATAATTACTTCTATTTTCTATATATATATATCTCCTTTTAAGACAAAATATATGTCTAAAAATAAATTGTGATGAAGAATATTAAACAGCACATGGGTATATTTTTTTCTTACTCTAACAACATTTGACTAATGTCATGTCTGGCATTGGCTTAGGCGCGCACGGTATTACTATTTGTTATTTGTTTATTTTTGGATATTCTATTCAAAATGGATTTAAATAATTCTTCTCACGACAACATATGTTAGCATGTGGAACATATCAAATAAAACAGGCTAGATCATATTTTGGAGAACACATAAGAAGTGATTGTTCATATACAGTCGAAGTTTGTATAGAAAGAGCCAGCAACCTTTTGCCAAGTCTTCCTTCAGCCGACAATTGCACATTATTAAGGGCCAAAATACAAAGCAGACACATAAGTAGGAAAACATATTTTATTTATATATTATTTGACAGTAATATAGAGAATTTAAATGCAATTAAAGAGTATTACTGTAACTGCATTGTTGGTCGCAGAACTGTGGGTTGTTGCTCTCACATTATGTCCGTAATCTGGTATATAAGTTGGGCAAGGTACGAGAATGTTACTCCTCCAGCTCAGTTTCTGGATAATATTTTGATTGTGTATGAAAGTGATGGTGACGACAATTGAAATTAAATGTTTGCAAAAATCCAAGCTTTTATTTTATAGGCCTGGATACTAAATTAATTATATTATTGGTTTCTACATAGCTTCAGCTACTACCTAGTAACGTTTTTATTTCAATAAAAAAATGTCCACCCCTTGGCACAAGTCCCATACAAAGCTGTCGGTGTCCTTTGAAGTATAATAATTATCTGTTACATTACACATAATTTTGCCCATTGGTTCTAGATCAGAGATAAATATACATAAAGTAAAAATCTTTTTTTTTAAAGGTCTACTAGCAACCGAAATTACTAGTATTCCCATTAAATTGCTTGTTAGGAGTGGGTTCACGCCGGTAGTGTACTAGACAGGATTTGAACCTACGACCTCTTGATCTCAAGTCCAATACCTTAACCATAAGGCTTTAAAGCCTACCGCCTCTTCTATGTAACCGAATTATGTATACAAATATTTTTGTATTCTGTAGTTGGTGTACAATAAAGCATATTCTATTCTATTTTAATTGAGCAGGAATCGAACTGCATATATAAATATTCGTTTTTTGTAGAATTTAACATTAACAGATTAGAAAATGTTATAATGAAAAAGCCAGCTACCTAGCTCATAATTTTACTCTGAAAAATGGATAAGGAATACTTAAACTCCATTTCAATAAAACGAAATGTAACAATATTTCTCAATGAACAGGTTACACATGGGCGTTCGTCCGTACCAGTGTTCGCTTTGCGGCAAATCGTTCACGTATTCGTACGTGCTTGCCAATCATATGCTGACACACACAGGAGAGAAGAAATATTCGTAAGTACAATTTAAGTACTCTACTTACGCGCGTCTTGGGCCACGAACATCTCGATTTTAGTATGATTATATATTAATCTATGATACAATTTGAAATCTTTATTTAAATCTGTCTATTCATTTTACTGTAATTGACTAAAATGTTAGACAATACACTTTTTCTTTTTTTAAGTTTTTTTTTTAAATCAAAGTAATCTTATTACCAACTCAGCCAGGGATACACCATCTAGATCAAATCAAACTAACTGATAGTCTCTTCTATAAATAATGTATGACAGCAACCCTTTAGCTTACTTTCACGCGTTAACGAAATAAGTACTAATGGTGTGCCCTGTGTTATTAATATCATTTAAGAGAAAAGTATAAAATATCGTTATTATATATGCCATCACCTTATCTTAGACTGCACGGATGGCGTAGTGGTTAAGTGGTCACCTCGCCGCTTCCTACTGCCCTGAATGTTGTGGGTTCGATCTCCACATGAGACAACACTGTGTAATCCACAAACGGTTGTTCTGAGTTTGAGTGTATTTTGTGTCCGTTTTATGAATGTTTGTAAAGTCCCTTGCTACACAGGATAATATATGTTCCGATTGCGGGAGGGGTCTTTTTAAAAAAGAATCAAATAGAAATACATGATGACTTATTCATTATTCTTCACAGTTGCGGCCCGTGTAACAAGAAATTCACAAAAGCTCATCACTTGAAATACCATAACAAAGTCCACCACAAAGAGCTGTATCTACAGCAGCAGTTGGAGGCGGAGGCCAAGAAGGTTCGACAGCAGATCAACGTGACAGGACTCTCGGGTGTCATATCCGGACAAATTGTTGATGGGACACTTCAATTAATCCATTCCACTAATGAAGCTAATGAAGGTAGGTCGTTTTTTAATCTATTTAATTATAAATGCGAAACTGAACTAAAACCCTTTCTCATATTAACTAGTCATCCGATCTTGTAAAAGTACAAAAAGGAATATACCTACTGTACCATTGATCCAGAAAAAAATTATATAATTATAAGACTCGACGAAAACTAGTTATATCATAAATGCTAATGTGAGTTTATTTGTTAGGTACACTTTCGCCGTATAAATATTCAACTGATTTTCAAGAAATTTCTCTCCCTTAACAACCTCAGCAGCCACATATATATTAATATTTAATTTTGTGTATGTACGAGAATTGATGCAATCATGTTACAGATATTATGTTTGTGTATATGTTTTTAATTTATGTTTATTAATTTGGAATCGCTGTAAGTTCATGTACTGACTCAGTCAAGCAGAGTTACCTTGTGTATAGATATTATATACCTGTAATATTTTTTGGTAAATTTTCTAAAAATAAAACCTAGCTAACTCGATTAATCGCCCCAGAAACCCCCTGCATACTAAATTTCATGAAAATCGTTAGAGCCGTTTCCGAGATTCAGATTATATATAGTGTATACATATATATACAAAAATATCTCGTTTAAAGGTATTAGATAGACAAAAATTCAGATATGTATTAATCATTTATTAAATTGTCTGTCCGTGTGGTGACGGATTAAGAATACGGAGTGTCACCACCCCTATTCATCCCCTGGGTGTCGTAAAAGCCGACTAAGGTTACAAACTACGCAGGACAACAGCGGCAAAGAGAAGGAAAACTTGACACAAACCCTATACAAACCCGTCTGGCCAGCGTGGTATAGTAGGCCAAAACCTCCTTTCTAAGGAGAGGCCTATATCCAGCAGTGGATTAATCAAGGCTGTTGATGATGATGAAATTGTCTGATGTACTGTGGACTATTAAATATATTATAGGGTCAATAGCCTTGCAATATGGCAAATAAAAGATATTATTTATCAGTAAATTTATCAAGACATGTTAAATATATAGTTTATCATGTCTGACAAAGATAATTTTTACAGAAATTAATAAAAACAATGTTTTTCCGGAAATCTAACACACAACGCCATCTCATGAAAGCTAGATTGACTGATAGAATACTTATATACTTGACGACCGGATGGCGTAGTGGTTTTTGTAACGGACTGCTGTTCCAAAGGTCTCGGGTTCGATTCCCGCTCTAGTCAAACATTTGTGTGCATGAACATTTAATGTTTGATTTGGTCTGGGTGTTTCTATGTATAATATGTATGTGTTTAAAAAAATAATATATATTTATTTATATCAGTTGTCTAGTAGCCACAGTACAAGCTCTGCTTAGTTTGGGACTAGATGACGTTGTGTGAATGTGGTACAATATTATTATTATTATACTTTTTTGTATTGAAAGAATTGTTTGATTAAGACGGTGAGCTGCAAGAAGCACAGATGCAAGTTGTGGTAGAACAGGAAGAACAGGGCGGCGATGATTCTGAAAAAGAAACTGATCGAGCCGTCGCTGGGATGCAAGCGGTTAGTTGCATTTTCACTTGTCATTTAGAAAGTCATGAAGCATGAATCGCAGAAGAGACGTAATCTACTTTGTGCAAGAGCATTAGCATTCTAATTTTAACCGGGTTGAATGAAATTAGCGGGGAAAGCTGTCACATGAATGTTTTTACGTCTAAATTAAGACCTAAGTAATATATACGTAGGTACTATCTTTTATTTAAAACAGACAACTCGCGCACTAGCAATATATCCTGTGTCGCGGGGAATTTACATGTTACACATACACGAAAAGGACACAAAGAATACCCAGGCTCAGAACAACTGTTTGTGGATAGCAGAAAGTATTGTCCCATGTGAATCCACAATGCTCAGTACCGACATATAATTATTGCACAAAGCTGTATATAATATATATAAATATTGTAATATTACAAAATTAAAAAAATATGTTTAACTAATGAATGTCTATGTTGAATACAATGAATGAACTAACTGGTCCGGCACCACGAATTCTAACAAAACCAATAATCTCGGGCGCCAGGTGCCGGCTTAAATGAACATAGACAACTAATAACAAATACAATAAATACCTGGAAAAGCTCGGTCAGCGCTTAGAAATTTTTAATCTAGGGTTGGGGGCAGCTATTAAATAAAGAGATGTTATAAGATTAAGAGGCAGTTTATTTATCCCGTAATGTCTGTAGAGTACATGGAATATTATAGGTCTAATTACAAATGTAATTCTCATTCTCAAATTAGTTCTGTCATTAATGCAATCCGTTTACCTTGATAATACAAATTAAAAGTAAAAGTCTCATAAAGATTGTTCAATACATAAAGAAACTAAAGGTAGTTATCATAACGCCCCTTGGAGCCCACAGTTTCCGTTATGACAACGCCAATAAAAATTCATATACAACAAAAAAAAAAACCGATTACGCCGATACAGTCCGTTTGGAACTATGGTAAAACTAACTCTTAAAACGCTCACTCTTGTTCTTCACGTGGTTGTCGTCGTGGCGGGGTAAGTAATCCAATCTTCCTGGTTCCTGTCCCAAGTGAATACAAATAATGGGCTACAGTCAGAGGACTTTTCCTGCCTTTAGAGGTACTTAGGAAAGGAAATCTACTCTTCGAAGCAAACTAAATCCCAGGATCAGGCAGGTAGTGAGGTAAAAAACTAATTGTAAAGTAAGGACATTGCAATCTAATAAGAAGAAAAGCCAAAACTAAAAAAAGAAACTTTGTTACGGCACAGGGTTCCAAAACGTCTCACAAATAAATCGGAGGCATTACTAATAATTCCAGAAAGGCAAAATAATATTTCCATTAAAAAAAAACTACTCTTCTTAACAAAACTGGCCAACAATAAAAGGTGATTAACCCTCTGATTATAACAAATGGAAACGGATTTCATTTCCGTCTTTCAAAAATCACAAACATGTCTACCCTATTCCACGGTACTATTATAATACAGTAGTGTAACTCGGCCGCATGATAGAAATAAATGCCTACAGCCGCGCGGTACGTAAACATGCGTTAGGGCTGCCCGTCTCCAGCATTTTAATTATATTTGCCTACTTTCTGTTTCTATTTAGATTTGTGATTGTAAATATCCTTTTTATATAAATAAATGAAATACTTTGTATATTGAATAGGAAGTGTTCAATAAAAATGCGTGTTGTTTTTTGATTGGTAGATTTAATTATTTTATTTTCTTTCTGCATTGGAGGAGTTTTTAGTGGTATATGTTGTTATAGTAGCAGCAGAAACACTGTGAAAATTTCGAAAACTATCTAATGACACACAGACGGTAATTTTTTTTTCTAGTATTGTATTGTGTGTGTATGATACACAGATAATAAACAAATATTTTACCAAATAAAATACCACGTCTTTACTTTGAATTATGCAAAGTAACAAAACACACATGCACCGAAGTTTTAACACAAGCGTAAGTAGGTAGGTACCTACCGTATCACGATTCATTCAGAACCTCATATAACTACCTATTTCACTCGTCTCAATAACTTTCCGTTACTCTTTATTAATTAATCCAAACACCTTTTTTTTCGTAAGATAAAAGGAAATACTTATCCATAAAAAAAGACACATTATGTACCTACCTACTAGTAAGTAAAATTATTTTATAGTGTTACCTTTCCCTCTTTCCTTTAGAGTTTCCAGGTAATTTAAAAAAACCTTATGTCTGGATGCGTTATTGACGAATTCATACAACCAAAAACAGCACATTATTTCCTACTCGTCATATTAACTGATTTTTAGAGAAAAAAAAATCGCGCGGTTATTGTTAAAAAAAACAACACACCGTCCGTTCGACACTGCGGTACAGCCGTGACTGTCTGCGCCCCGAGCGCACCCCGAGATCGAGGCGCGTAGGTATAGCTCGCGTTTCGTCCGTTTGTATGAAGTTGGAGTACTGTATTATAATTGTACCGTGCCTATTCACTTCTCCCAGGAAAATGCAAAAGCGACAATACAGGGTTGCCAGAACCAGAAGTGCAAAAAAAACTACAATCGAATGATTACTTCCATAGAGTAAATAATTCCATGGACCGAATCAATACAATAGTCGATTAAAATAGACTAAAAAATCTGGACTGTGACGCCATCTCTCGGAGCTTACTGAAACGTCGGAAAAATCCGTCTGTCGTCTGTCTGTGTAACAACACGTCGATAATTAACTTTTCTGTAATGGTGCAGAAATGCAACGTTACAATATACATAATATATTGTAACTCAAGTATCAAAATCTACAGATACCCAGTTCATACATTTTATCATTTAAATTACTAAATTAAATGAATCGGGGTAGGAAGGATTTGCAGTAGTGACTAGCTGTAGTTCTGAAAATTTCAGTAAGCAGACATTCTGTCTTAGTTATTTTGCAAGTAACTAATGATTTGTTAATTCCGACTTTATTTTTGCCAACTCAAACTAGAAATATAAATTTGACTTAGTTAAACATTTGCATTACTTGACAGGATGCAAAATACAATACTATATTGTTGCTGTCACCTATAGAGTGGAGGTAATATCTTGAGGATGGTTTTAATTGTAGCAAAACTTTATTGTGTTTAAGCAGAAAGCAGCACAGTGTTGTGTAATACGAGATTAGGTGTAATAGATTTCTATTATATCTATACATTTGTCATTATTATTTTAAATTTCAGGTGGTCTTAGATGCAGAGTTTTCTATGGAAGACGATGATAAAACACAATGAAGTGATTACTAAAGAAAACTGGTTTAAATTGTATCTTTACATTAATGTAATAACTATGTACTTTAGCAAGCCCATGGCAAGTTAACTTTGAGGTTTATTTCTCTCTTTGCATGAGGAACATGTTAAGACTGACATACTAGAGAGAGGAAAATGTACGAGTTTGTAAATGCAAGAATATGTAAAGCATGGAGTGGTGTTTAACCTTAATTGAACACAATATCTAATCGACGATTTACCCTGGCAGGCAAATATACTTTGTCTATTTTGTTCCTACAAGAGTTTACATTGTGCAAATGGTTATTATTTTCCCATGTTTAATTAGCCTTTGTAACTACTGTATAAATAGCTCGAATAAGTACAGAAAGCAATCTTAAAAAAGGTATTCAAACATTATTATGTACACAAAAGAAAAAAATAATAATTCAAGCTAATACAACTACCTAACGGTTAAACATAACGCTCATAAAATGTGACCACCTTTTTATGTACCACCTGTATATTTAATAAAGTGTAATCCACCATAAAATGCTATCATATGTCTAATAAATCACTTTCAAAATTCGCTCATAATCATCACATAAACAGATTTAAACACAGATTTATGTCCTTTCCTATTTTGCTTAAGACTTAATGAACAAATTCCCTTAAAATTAATTATTCTTGCCAAAGACTTGTTTGTAAATCAATAATTAATTAACAATTAATTTGAGGCCAGCTAGAAATTTCCAATGGTCATTTTTAGATGTTATAGTGTAACATTATAGTAACAATGGTTTTTTGCTTTAGCAATATGAATTTTCCCTGTTTTTATTACAGTTAGTAGTAATTTTAGTGCTACTGCGACATCATCTTAAAAATGACTTATTGGCGGTTTTCTGCTGAAAATGTTTGATGTATTGATCTAAGTATTTTTCGAGCTGTGATGATCGACTTGGTTATATTTTGTATGTTGGGTTTTTAGATTTCGTGAATCTGATGATCAATCCATCTTTTCCGAACAAATGTGATTGATCATCAGCGTTACGTGTAGTCGACAGTTGCTTGAAAAAACAATTTACTTTTTTTTTGGGATGCATTTCTAGACAGCATAATTTTAAATAATTTTGATTTAAATTTGTATGCACACACTTTGAAATTTAATAATATATCTAGTAAATTATCAGACAATACTGAATGTGAGTGCCCATAGTTTTCATTCATGTCGGCGTTCTGTTATAAGAAATCTAATAATTATCGGACCATTTTTATGGTCAATTTGTCTTAATTTTTTATTAAAAGTCTTAATGTAAAATGTTTAGTGCTTGTCATTATTTACGGGTGCCACTGTACGACCATAAAATTGTAACACGCCTTTTTGGAATATTCTCTAAACGTGTAAAAGTTAACATATGAACATTAAGTTTATAATATACTAGCTGACCCTGCAAACGTTGTTTTGCTATTTACATTATTTAAATATGTGTTATTTGAATTTCTTAAAATCCGTTCTTAGCTGACCTCTACTCGGTGAAAAGAATATTCCTACCAAATTTCAAGTCTTTAGCTCTAATGGTTCCAGAGATATCGTGATGAGTGACTATATACGTGGAAATCTCTTATATATATATATAGATTATGCGATACCCATTCAATCATCATGACATTTTTCATAAGTCTTAGCAGGTGTACATCAAAAGACATAATTTCATTATTAATACTTTTATGAAATGTATCGGGTTATTATTTTATGGTCATGATTCTTTAATGTATTCTATATTATTTTTGTGTCATGTAAGTTACATCAAAATGTATTACAATGTAAAGGAATCTTGTACGTTAACTTTGTATATATTCATTCTTTATATCATTAAAATTTCCAAAACATTCTTTAAAAGATTGCGATTTGATAAAACGTTTTCGAGCGTAATGACAGGGGCTGTAGGCTATATTATATTTATTAATTCACTGCCAAATTCATATTTTGTACACAAATTTTAAAGGTATATTTGATGAAATAGGTTACTTGTCAATACTGCACTTTAATTAAGGATTGTATAAATCTAAATTTAAGATAGCACTAAGATTTTTTAATGTCGATAAATCCTTACGTATCGTCGTTGGCAATAAATGTAGTGATTTAAGTTGATAAAAACACATACCATGACACTGCACGCCTGAAATGTTTTGTAAATGTTTGTATTTATAGATAATGATTGAACTTTTCTTCATACCAAGACGAAAATAGGTGTACGCGACCCGTTCTCTTCGAGATTCTGTGGTCTCAGTACTTTTTCTCTTTTATCCACTGCCTCGGTTTATCGATTTTCCCAATTTACTTTTTCTCTTTGACCCATTTGTAAACGACATAAAAGAAACGAGCTATTCAATTTTACACATTGCGCCGAATGCGACTTAAATTAAATTGGTAACAGACGGTAAATGATGATGATGACATACATAGTAATAGCACTTTTATAGAAAAAAAAACTGCACGATCTTAGTAGTTGTGTACCTTCGTAATTTTCTACAAATATAGCCAACTTGAAATTATCTCAACCGAATAAAAATTCTAATGCATTTATGTGGCCGAAATTGTAATATAAATAATAAATATAAATGGCGATACGTGACGATTGAATTTAATTAAATCTTCGTTGTAGAGTAAATGAGAAGCAGTTAGAAGTTGTAGCGGCGGACATGGTTATAGTGATGTTCTAAACATACGTGTTAATGTTATTACATGCTCATAAGAGGTAGGAATAAAAATTAAAATCATGTAACATGTATTATTTGTTTCATTTTGTTCCGTTACCGTTACCGTTGGCTCCTGTTACTTCGCTTTTTCCATTAATCTATGCGACGAATTCTTGTTGCATGTGTGAATAAGTAAGTGCATAAGTTTACGCGGCCTTAGGCGAGCTTAGAGAAAAAACATCGCCTACGCTGTATATTTCTTAGGTAAACTCAAAAAAGATCCTGAAATTCTTACTGATGATACTGAAAGTTCAAATGTCTCTTTTGAGATAGTTTTGAATAACCTCAGCTTTGGCCTAAGTTATTGAATTTGGGCCTGAAGGTATATTCCAAAATCAGGAGCCTCCTGTGGAGTGACAGGAGTCTCCTTATTTTGATTTCGAGAATGTTCCGATTTTTCATTTGTGTCATTTAAAGAGGTTCCATGACTTTTTGGCTGTTTTTTAATGTTTGATGTGAGCCTCGGCAAGACTTGTTTGCTCGTATTTGAAAAGAACTCCCGTCCTAGGCATATATCCTGTGTCGTGGGGGACTACAAACATTCATCAAAGCGACACATTCTATCCAGACTCAAAACAAGAACTTGTGGATCACACAAAGTGTTATTCCATGTGGGAGTTCGAACCCACAACACTTGACTCATTAGAAAGCGGCGAGGCGACCATTTGAACCACTATGCCATCCTTAAGTTGAAATTGCCAATGTCGTATTTCTTATAAATAGTTACGAATCATACGTTTAATCCAATAATAACAACTTTCAAAATCAGGTGAAGCAATAATAAATAAAAAAATAGTAAAAGTACACTGTATACGGAAATGGAAGCCAACTAAATGTGTTACCTACTGTAAAAAATAAAAAGCTTATAGCTTTTTTCAGTTTAATGTAATACTGGCTAACTAACTAACTGACTAATAATCGTCATATAGTCAACTTGACATTCTGTATGACACTGACAAAATGGCAAAATAGACTATCTGTTTTCAACGAAGAACTTTTTGTTCTTTATCCATAGTCACTATATAATTGGTAAGATCATGAACAGCATCGGCAGTCGATTTGCCGCGCCGAAAACCATACCGCGAAGGGGATAATAGGTTATATTTTTGTAAGTAGTTGACTAGCCTGCTGTTCATGATCCGCTCAAGAAGCTTTGAAAAGACCGGCAACACCGCTATAGGTCTGTAGTTAAAGACACGGCATCTGTCCTACTCTTATATATCGGGTGTCTTATAGCTGCTCCAGGGACTTCCTTTCTAGGGTATACCTGGTTCCCCGGCTATTAGTACCCGAGACGGCGTGCGGTTTTAGTCGGTTCGAGTCCGGCATGCCACCGACAGGTGGTATCCGAGGGGATTTCCGCACGGAAAAAAATAAATAAAAACAAAAGGGTGTCTTATAGCTCTTTTATATGCTTCAGCAAATTTACCAGTAGTCACCGCGAGGTTACAGATGTATGTGAGTGACCAGATTCCGTCCCACCCAATAGCACAGTCGCTGCGAAGAGTCATTAGTATCTTTTAAACCTATTCGTTGGTTGGTCGTCACACATACATGATAAGAAATAGCTGCAAGCAATTTTCGACGTTATGAACTTCCACAGTATTTAATTTCTTTACATTATGATCCTTATGACATTATGACCTTTATTTGTTTTTACCGATCGCATAAAGATATTAAACAACCCGTCAATAAAACTTCCAAACAGTTCGATATTCGAACTACTGATAAGACTGGACTGAATGAAATAAACGAGTAAAGTATGCTAACGTAGTTATATTAATGGTACAAACGTAATTAATTTGTCTCCTCTGCAGGTCAATAGCGCATTCGGTACTAGGGGCCTGAAAATCGTTTGGTGCGGGGTCCGAAACCTGTGTGGTGCACCCTGGGCAACGAAGCAGCAGCGCCTCTCGCCCTAGGTGGGGGAGGCGCTGCCGCCTAGGGCCAATTCCTTGAGGTCTTCGGCGCCACCAGTGCCCACAAAGACGACGCCCCAACGGCGAAGCTAAGGGAGTCACTAGACGCAGCTGATGTCCGAGTGTCCAGGCCCACTAAATGTGCCGAAGTTCGAATCACGGGCTTGGACGACTTTGTCACGGCGGACGAGCTTAGACTCACCGTAGCGGAAACTGGGAGCTACCCTCTGGACAGTGTAAAGGCCGTAGCAAAACGCTTTGGCCCTGGTGGACAGGGGGCAACAGTTGTCAGCTGCTCCAACGCGGCGGCCCAGAAGGTCGCCGATGGACGAAGCCTCCTGTTTGGAG